TGTATGACTTTGTACTTCTCCCATAGTTCATGTCTGTCAAACTTACCTGCCATGGACTCTTTCATAAGTTCCATGAAATCGTCTTCGGACAATCCGGGGAAAAGTATAATGTCAGTAAGTATTCTTTTAACATCCTTACTTAAACTCTTTGCTGTCTGTACACAAATGACAACTGAGATGTTAAAGTGTCTGAGCTTCTTAAGAATTCGACACATGTCTTGTTCTCTATTCTTTAACAAAGGGTGAGAGGCGAAATCATCTAAGATAAGAAGACATCTGTGAGGGTACGTTTTCCAATCGTAAGATTGCAATTTCTTCGAAATGTATTCTATCTCTTTCTGTTTGTTTCTGAAGTGTTTCTTCTCTAATATTCTCTGCATTTCCTCATTTGGGTCTTTAAACTTCGAATTTATATACTCATTTATAGCATTGTACTTCAAAACTCTTCTTTGGTACTTCTTTATCCAATCTAACAACTCAGAGTCTTTTATACATACTAACTTAGACTTCTTTATAATATCTTTGAACGAATTTACGGTTTGGTCAAATTGACCCGAAGTACTACAAATGACAACTAACTCATAGAATGGGTTCTTCTCATCTAGTTCTTGTTGTTGTGCAGCCATTTTAAGATAAGTGAAAGTCTTACCCGACCCAGGTGGTGCAATTAGACCTGTTATATCACATTCTGAGCAAATAAGAACTTGTCATGTATAAGGCTTTATCTGAGCATTTTCTAACTTCACCTTGTTCTTGTTTAAAACATTCTCAAATTTCTTGTCAATGTCAGCAAACTTTTTTTCTAACATATTTTTAGAAAAATTAAAATTTTTATCTTTTAGAAAATGTCTAGCGATTTCGCTATCTATATTCGAGACAAGCTTTTCGACAGCAAAACATCTGTCGACCATAAAATCTTACATAGTGTAAACAAGAAAGGTGAATTTGTTCTAAAGTTCTGTTTCTGGGAATATGACAAGAACCATAAAACCTTAAGCAGAGCAGTCTTAAAATTTGTCAATGACAGACTTGTTGACAGAGATGACGCCGATTGGAAAGATGAAGTCCAACAAAAGTTCTTAGAATGCAAAGAAGACACATGCGCTGTTCTTGAAGATGAAATAGAAAACAGAATAGATGAGCTATTAAAGGACAAAGAACTTTTACAAAAATATGGTTCGGAGAAATTTGACATAACTCCACCAGAAAAGAAGAAGAGAGAAAAGAAAGAAAAGAAAGTAGAAGAAGAGAAGAAAGAACCAGTTCCAGAGAAGGGGAGATATGACATGTAAAAATAAAATTTTATTTTTAGAACATTTCTGGGTCAATGTCAATGTTCTCTTCCTCTTTAGGAGTAAACACTGGCTTAGACTCTAAAATCTTTTTACCCAATTTACCTTGAACTTCTACAACTTTAGACTCATAATATTCATAGTCGTCTGCTTTCTTTTGGTTCATAAGGTATAACAAGTTTGTATGCTTTGCCTTCTTTAAGGTTTGAAAACCTTCTGTCAAAACTTTCTTTGACTGCTAACAAACCTTCTATGTCTAAGTCTTCAAATTTCGCACCATTTTTAGTCACAATAGCAAACTTAACTGGTTCGATGTTCCAAACTTTGCTGAATGAAGACTTTTCAAAATGGTAGAAGTAAACATTCAAATATGTGAATGGGTCTAGTTCTTCTTTAAGTCCTGACATGTACTTGTTTACTGAGATGAATTTTGTCATCTTTTCTATCGGATAAAAAAAATATTTTTTTTTAAATTTACTCAGAAAATTTTTCTTTGTATATACACCATTCTGTACGTCTAAAAGACTTTTGACATTTGCCAAAATGTTCGTTTAGACGCTGTCATATAACCATATTCTTGACAATATTGTTTATACGAATCGTACAATGACCTTTCATCTAAACACTCAAAGTCAGTTTCATCTATGAACAGTTCATATACACTCTTGTTTGCTTCTAACAATGTTTGTCTCTCTTCGGTATGTGGAATTTGTCTTGGATTGAACTTTGAAATATCTAATGTCATGAAATATGAGAACAAGTGGTTGTAAAAGTCAGATGTCAAAGTTTCTGCTAAGTCGTCAAATATTTCTGTATCTTGCATATGAGCTTCTGACGTTCTGACAACTACATATCTTCTGTCAGAACTTTCTAACTTTCATCGGAACAACATTGTTTGAAACCATAACGAAGTTTGCAACATTTTCACAAACTCTTTGGTCTTATATTTTCTTTCAACAACTCCAACTTTGTCTGTTATAAGACTCTTCAAAGCATCTGAGTTCAAAACTTTTGTTGTATCTATACTTTGAAGTTCGTTACATACTATAAGTTTCATATCTCTCTATTGAAGAGTTAAATTTACCGCAGATGTTTTCTAAGTTTGTCATATTCGGGTTCGAATAACCTTCTAACAGTTTGCATAAGATATCTGTAAAGAATGTGTTCTTACCTGTTCCTTGTTTTCCAATTATAATGAGAGCAGTTTCATTTTTAGCACTTGGATGTTGTAAGATGTTTGCAAACCAACATAAGATATACTCATAGACTCTTTCGTTTCCATTGCATATAATTTCTTTGACATGGTCTAACCAAGCTTCTATAATATTTTCTTTCCATTCTACTTGTTCATATTTATATCCAGTGAAGATAGAATAGAAGTTTGGAGAAGGTGTATAAAACTTTATACCACGAACTGAAAAATCTTCAAGTTTTGACAATAAGATATCCCAAGCATCTAACATCTTCATGCCAACTTGTACGACTTTTATTTTCTTAAGTTTCTGTCTACATTCTTGTTCTGAAACTATTGTCGCTTTAGGTTTGTTAAAGACTACATCCCATTCTTTCATAACATAACATTCTGGGGCAGAGTCGACATAAATGACTAAACGTTTCAAATTCTCGACTGCTTTGTTATAGTCTCTAAATGGACACATATTTCTGAATGTTTGGAAGTCATAAAAATCTGAAACATCTATTCTGTACATTTTTATAAAAATAAAAAAAAATATTTTTTTTATTCTTGAGCTATTTGTTGTTGCATTTGTTCCATTTGTTGCATTTCTTGTTCTTGAGCTATTTGTTGTTGAAGTTGTTCTTGTAGTACAATACTTTCACCAGTTGCATCTTCCAATTCGAAACTTTCTGCCGTCATTGACAAATACATAGGACATAAAAGTTTTACAGGAACAAAGTTTGCGTCAACTAAGGTTAAGTTTATGTTTGCTAAAGTGTTTGAGTTTACTAAAGCTGAAAACTCTGCATTCGAATGAACAATAGGCAAACCAGCAGAGAATGTGTTGTTTATACGCATAAGTATCTTTTGGTCATAGTAGTTTCTGTCGACATTCGAATAGCACTTTGAACCTAAGTTTGAAACAATATATAAAATAGGTGTACTTAAAGTCAATGGAACAGACATTCCTTGTATGACACCTTTTCCTGTTATAGGAAACTGTTGGTAGTAAAAACCAGATATAAGTTTTGTATTATAGCTCATATTGTTTATAGTAAACTCAGTCGGACATCCAAACATAATGAAACCTGCTCTAGTTGCAGCACATGTTACACCCGTCCTTAAAGTATTAAATAAGTCAACAAAACCTGTTGGTGGTATATCTGAGTAAGTATCTTCAAAGGAGTATTTTTTACCATTCACAACAATAAAATCTTCTGGTGTCAAAAGAGCAAAACAAGCTTTAGTCGTCATTGTGTTTAAAGTTAGTTTACAATATCGTCCTTGAGGACTTTGTAAGTTTGTTGTTATAGAATTATATGACTCAGGGTTTTTAGTCGTAATAGTATAAACCACTATGTCTTCTGCCATTTACATATATTTAAAAGTTTTTCTGAAAGTGGAGAAGAACTTCATCTAAACTTTCACATGGCGTTTCTTGAAGTTCTCTGTCTAAGAAGTTCAAATATTTTGTAAAGACATAGAACTTTCCTTTGTCTACACGAACAAACAAAACAGGGTCTTTCATATCGTTCAAAAGTGTGTAAAGTCCTTTACATGAAATAAAGTCTATATTATTTTTCTTCAAACATCTTTCAAGAAGTTTTGACATTTTTACTTAGCAAATAAATTTTAATGAAATGTTGTGGTCGTCAAATATTTTTATGACGTCTGGGAAACTATACTTTAAGTTCAACGTTTCACCTCCTTTCATAACGTATATCTTGTCAATGACATTATATGAAACACCACAGCAACTAATGTCGGGTTCTATTTCTTTGATGTTTATATTGTCTGCCTCTGTCAAAAGTTTCAATAGTTCTTTCAAAACTTCATGAGGTGCGATGACATATGAGTTCACTTTTACAGGGTTGTGTTCGACCAAGTTTAACATTATACTTAAAGCTTGACAAATCTTCTCCTGAGTTTGAAGTTTGTCTTTCAGTTGTTGGTAGTCGTTTCGAATATCTGCAACAGAACTTAAGTCTCTGCTAACTTCAGGGTATGTTGGTTGTTCTTTTACAGGAACTATTGTTATACCATCTTCGTCCTCGTATGGTTTCCCCATTTCAACATCTCTTTCTTTGACATTGACAATAACACTTTGACTGTTTGTTTGAGTTGGTGAATTTAACTTCACATCTGCCACCGCCATTAAACCGTTTGAAACACTTACGCTTCTATTTTTCGGAAATGACATTTTACTTAGAATAAAAAGATGGACGTATTCGGATATCTCTTCGAATTGAAGCAAAACAAAGTTTACACACACAAACAATACAAATACATTGACAGAATAGTTCTTTATACAAACAATGGAAAATGTTATAGAATAGCAGTCTTTGCTGAACCAAAATATTTCCATAAAGCAAAGAAAGTTGGTATAACTGAAATGGTGAAAGTTCTTGAAGCAGACAAAAATATAACTTCAAAACTTACAGATATTTCTAAAGGTAAGTTTATAATACAATATTATGTCAAAACTGGCGTACTGTCAATATTTGACGGAGAGAAGTCAGTTCAAGAACAACTTACTGACCTGCTGCCAAAATCTGCTCGATGGAAGCTGTCGTTATGCCAATCTGAGGAGCCCCAGCAGGTTTCATCGAACGAATCTTCAAAAGAGCATCTTCCGTGAAAAGTGCTATTGGTTTTGTAAACTTCTTTGCTTTCAATTCATCTGGACCGTCTCTGTCACCAGTATATTGTATTTGTACAGTACCAACAGTTGAAATACCACCCATAAAGTCTTCTGAGTCAGCAAATGGAATGCCAAGCCAAAAGTTTGAACGGTCTCCATTTGTATATTGAGTTTTTTGACTTCCTGTATGAGTCCATACTTTCACATATGGCATAATAAAACTTTGCATTTCAGGGTTTATGGTTGTTGTGAAGTTGTTGTTAAAGTTCATAGCATCTAATGTCAAGTTGTATGACCTCATATCCTCAACTGTAGAATATTCTTCTCTTGGATAATATTTGCCATCTATGTTTATATGATATTTAATACCGGGGTTGTAGAAACAAGAATAGTCATTTATAGTTCGTCTGAAAAGAACAAACATAGTATCTGCATGTTTCATTGCAGTTGTTAAGGCAATATCTGTTCTTGCACCTGGGTCAGCACTTTGGTTTCAACTTCACCTGCAAAGTCTTTGACAGATATTTGGTGTATAGGGAACATAAGTGGAACTGCAATATATTTGGCAGCTAAAGCATTTGAAATATCTGGGTCCAACATATAGACTGCAAGTCTGCTTTCTATTCTCTTGCATTCAAATTTTTCGCATGTGAACTTAACTGGTCCCAAGCAGTTCCAGCAGCATTGAAATAATAGTTTAACTTCAGTGTTGAGGTTTGAGAAACCAAAGTCTAAGTCAACTTTGTCTTTGCAAAAGTCACAGAACTTGGCTCCACCAGTTCCAGCTAGCAGTAGAGTGAATGGGTCTTGTGTTGGTGCAATGACTAAGTTATTTTTGCTTGGGTAAGTTCGATAGAAATTTTTCCTGCCCAGTTTGGCAAGTATCTTAAAAACCTGAAGATGAGGAAAGATGACAAAGGAACTCTAAGTTTTCAGTTTTACTTTTAGTGACAGCATTTCCATCTGAACCAGAAAGGTTAACATAAACTCCTGGAACGTTAGGGTCAAGTCTTCTTATTTTCTCAATAGTTGCATACTGGTCTGTTTGTTCTCTAGCTTGTGGTTGTACTGAGTTTCTCAAGCGAACCATTCATAGTTTGCCCATGTTACTGTTTGAACTAAGTCAGAGTTAGAATATATCTTATATCCCATGAAAACTCTGGAGCATATTGGTATCCGACATAGAAAATCCATTGCAACCTCTCTTGTCAGACAACTTGGCAGAAGGTTTTATTTCAATGTCTTGTTCCACGTATAAGAATGAGTTGTCAATAGAAATAATATGAAACCTGTCGCAAGCAATATCTACTGTTGTTGAAGAACCTTCTCCAAACTCACCTACGTTCCCATAAGAAACAGCAGTTGTATATTCGTAAGTTCCAGGAACTATTTCTGACCTTCTAATGGCATTGTCGCATTCGTTATAACCATTCGGAAACATTTCCGTTCATGGCATCCAAACTGTTGGCGTTATATTCTGAGCGGCGTACATTTCATATGGGTAAAAATATAGAATAGTTGGATTTATGTGTCATAATAGAACCCACTCGTACCAAGCTTTACTTTCTTCCTGACTGAGTTTTTAACTCTTCTTTTTCCTTCATTGCCACTACTTTCACTAGATGAAGTTACTTCTTCACTACTTTCACTTTGTTCTAACTCTTCTTCTTTGGTGTCGCTTTTGGTAACTTGCCCTCTGCTTCAAGTTGTTGCATCTTTGCCTCATGTTCACCTAGTATGTTGTAAATTTCCCATGTCCTTTTTGCCTTTGGGCTCTGGTCGCCCATCTCAGGTAACCTAATCCTAGAAAGATTTTGTTCATAGTTTTGTATTTGAGTCTTCGCGTATTGTTTGCATGATCTTTCCTGAGTTTCCGGTTCAAGCTCTTCAAACAGAGCTTGTCCATATGGAATAAGCTCGTTTCCAAATATATGTTTTTTGTAGCCATTCTGGTTTTCTTTCCATGTTACCAATAATATCTTTTGTGAATGGGAAAGCTTTTACCCAATGTTTCAGTCTTGCGTCATTTATTTCTGTAGTTGGTTTTATTTTGTCAAGGAACATGTTTTTTCAATACTAACATTTCATTTGGTACTGTCCATTTGAGTTTTCTTAAATATTCATCCCTTCTCGGTTCATTGTCTGCAAAGTAAGTTTTTATGACATTTTTGTAACTTTCGTTTGCAAGGTCATGTACAATAGGTTCTCTTCCTTCTGTCTCCCTAACTTTCTTTCTAAACTCTTCACCAAATATACCATCTCTATGGTTCTGTGTAGTTCTTTGAGATAAATGTTTTAGAACGTCAGGTGTTATATTTCCATCAGCCATGTTCATTTCATACTGGTTCAAAATATCTGCATCTTTCATATCTTTCAATGGCATTAAAGCCGCGCTGAAAATACCAGCTATATCTGGTTCACCATTCACTTCCATTGCGTCTACACACTTCTTGGAATTGTGGTTGTAAGTTTATGAACCACCTATCCGGGTTAGCTTTATGACCCCATCTTCATTGTAGTTCCATAGTCTGCAGAACAAAAGTAGGTTTTGTTTCCATATTGGTTAGGTTCTGAATGAACTTTAAACAATGTTTCATTTCTAATATGTTTTTGTTGAAATTTAACCTTTTATTTTCACCGAGTTCAGCCAAAGATTGAACGTTATATGGTCGTAAGTAAAAAGGGTTATTGTATTTGCGTACATTTTCTTTCAGTACTTCCATTCTATGCTGAATATTTTCATCTGGTGTTGGAGTCTTTTGTATGTCGGCAAACATTTTTCGATATTCTTCTACCATGTCAGCCGAATTTTTTTTAGACTCTTGGAAAGATTCCATATTCACCTCATACTCTTGTTGAGGGTCAAGATTTTTCGGCTGTTCCAAATCTTCATCTAGTTCTGTGAAGTTAGTTTCCAAAGGAGGGACTTGTTCGTTTCCTTCAGGCTCTTCTAGCTGTTGTTGCTGAACTATTTCTTCCATGTCTGGTTGTATCTGAACTTCTTCCTGTGGAGTTTCTTGTACCTCATCTGCTGGCATTTCATATATTCCGAGACCGTTTTCAACAAGTTCCCTATTTAAGTCATCCGCATTCATAAGCCTTTGTTCTTTCGTTCCGTCTCTATTTTTTACGCGTTTCATGAAGAGAGTTGAATCATCATTTATCTCTGACACCAAATATCTCGGAGTAAATTCGTTCATGTCATTTGGATGATATGCTATTAAATCATATCCCTTAGCGAGCTTGTATTTTCCAGGTTTGAAATTATATCCCATTTGGTGCTGAACCATAAAGCTAAATAGGTTCGGGTCAGTATTTCCTTCCTTGAACTTTCTAATAGCTTCTTTATATCTGTCACTAAAGTCAAGAGTATCTGGGTAACCATAATTTTCCTTAAGCATTTTTAAGAATTCTTGGTTTCCTTGTTCTCTACTTCTTTTATGTCCTTGCTCTGTTTGTGGTTGTTGTTGTGCAGGGTTTTGAACTGTTGGTTGTGGTGCAGTGTTTTGAACTGTTGGTTGTGGTGCAGTGTTTTGAACTGTTGGTTGTGGTGCAGTGTTTTGAACTGTTGGTTGTTGTGTTGGTTGTTGTGTTGGTTTTGGTGCATGCCTGTGTCTGTGTCCATGTGACGATGTAAATGTTTTAGGTAGTCCTGGTGCAGGTGCTTCTCTTGGAGGGTTTGGTGGTATATAAGTTCCACCAGCTGGCACATATGTTCCATCTGCAGCATAATGTCCTACCTGACTTTTCGTTTTTAAGAAAGCATTTACTAGGTCTGTTTTGGTCTGTTGTAACTCTTTTTCTTGACTTTCCACAACAGTTGCTCTAACGGCGTCATAGGCACTTTGAACTGCCTGTCTCGTTGCTGCATCTGTTATTTTCGTCATATTTTGTGCTACTTCTCTTAACTCTTTGTCGAAACCTTCAGACTTCAGTTTCTTTCCAGATGAGAAGTCGTTCACTAGTTTCACCTTACTATGAAGAGCTTCGAAGGCGTTCTTAAAGTCAGCATTCATTAAAGCTTCATTTGAACTGTCTTCATCCGCTTGTATTTTTGTCCTTATTGACCCTATAAGTTGGGCTGCTTTAGCGTTGGCTTGGGCATCTAACCAGTCATTGTTAGCTTTTATATATTCTGCGCTTTTCATTGCCTTTTGCATGGCTGCGTCGTTATTTTTACTTTCTTGTGCTAAGTTTTCATACTGTACGGTTTGGTTTTGCAACTGTAAAAGTTTTTCTGCCTTTACATTTGCTTCAACTTCTTTTTTATACTCATCGCTATCCATATATGTCTTCAGGGCTTTTTGTTTTATTTCTTCATCTTTCAGTACTTTATATTGAGTAGTATGGTTTTTTTTCAACATCTTGTTCCATTTTTGCTACTTCTGCTGCTTTTTCTGACACTTTTTTCGCATATTCCTCTGTACTTAGTTCTTTCAGTTGTTCTTCTTTCTTCTTTTTTCTCTACGTTTAACTCATTGAGTTTCTTTGTGTGTCTGTCATATTCTAGTTTCTTTTCGTTTTCACCTATTTGTTTCTGTATGTCTATGTTTGACTTTTTGACATCTGCTATTTGATTTTTGAGTGAACTCAAATTCATTTGACTTTGAGGGTTATAGGCTGTTCCGTCTGCAGCTCCACCATAGCCTGCCATTTTCGCTAAAAGTGCCGCTCTTAAACCTCCACTCTGTGCACCAATAACTCGGTTTAAAAGCATAGGGTTGCTTGACATTTGTTGCAACATAGTGGGGTCATTCATTATTTGTTGTTGCAACTGTTGTTGTGGTGTCAGTTTTACTATTGGATGTTTCAATGCTCTCTTCCTCTTACGTATATTCTTACGTAGCTTACGTGGCATTTTAAGTGAAGTAAAAAAGCGGTTTTTGACAGATGTTTATATGACACTTTTGTTCAGCACAAAAAACTACTCGGTCAAAGTGTTGTCAGTTTTGTAAAATAACCGTCCGATCTCATTCTATAAGAGGAAAAAGGCTTCTCAAAGTATACTTCCTTAGAACGCCCGTAACTTTTCCTGTAGCGATGATAGACCCTTACTTGTCCGGACAAAGTTATACTAAACATCTTCAGGGCTAGAGGGCACGAAGTGCCTGGAGGCCCCACTACCTTTTTTTTTTTTTTTTTTTTTTTTTTTTTTTGATGGCATTTCTTTTTTCTTTCAAATTACAAATTATCGGAAGCAAATTTCCTTCAAAATTTTATTCTAATTAAAATCCTAATACTAATTATATAAGGAAAATATATTAAATCGGACTTTCTGTGAAATAAAATTGAGAGCGATAATTTCATTTGAAAAAAATGTCCAGTCCACAACTGAACAACGAGAAGAAAATAAAAAGGAAGCAATTCACACCTGATGAGGATTATATTATTATTGAGAAAGTTAGGCAATTTGGATACAGATGGCCAATAATTGCAAAATTTTTAGATGGAAGAAATTCAAGACAAGTAAGAGATAGATACACTAATTATTTGAACCCAGGGATCAATAAAAAACAATGGACAGAAAAAGAAGATAATACATTAAAACATCTTGTTTTAAAATATGGATGTAAATGGAAAACAATATCTCTTATAATGGGTGAGAGATCAGAAGTTAATGTTAGGAATAGATACCGCCTTTTGATGCGACATAAAGCACTATTGATCAACCACGAAATTCGATCATCAAAAATTAAAAATGATGATGAAAAAGAATCTGAAAAGAAAGAAGATAGTAACAGTGAAGATAATTCATTTGATACTGATATATGTTTTGATTTTAATGAATTTTTTACTGTAGATTTCTTTTAAAGATGTTGTTTTAAATATTTTTCTTGATTTGCTAATGTTTTGGCTTTTATCATGATCAATGCAAATGTCCTATCTTACGTGTTCGAATAAATTAAAAAAATTGAATTGAATTTGAAATTCAAAAATTCGAAATTACGTTTAACACTCATACATTGCAGCTATGATATTTTGGTTTTAGGAAAAAGCACGCTAACATTGCACTGAAATTGCAAAATAAAATGATCGATTTTATTAACAATTTTGAATATTAATAAATTGACTCTATATTTAGAAGCAAATAATTCTTCGAATAAAAGTGACATGATCCAAATTGTTTTCAGGGAACAAAATATATTTTCAATGAGTCGGCTCAAAATTTGAAAATTAGCACAATTTCAATTCGGAGTTTCTTGTTTATTACTACTAATTATTATTGAAAATTGTGATTCAATTTACCAAAGCACGTTATTCTTTAAAAACAATAAAAATGTTGGTAGAACTTTCCAAAACTTGATGCCTATTTAGAGTATTACAAAATTGATTCATTTGGTATTAATACGCAGAGAATTTTTTATTTTTTTTATATAGTTAAAATGATACTCTCATTATGATTACATGTATTTGAAGTTAGAGATATTCACTTATCGCCTTAAATTCGTTTTATTGATTATTTTGTGACGATTGAATTCGAATTTTTATTTATGAAATAGATATATGTTTAAATTCATTTCGATATGTGATTTTAACTCATATTTATCAATCTGATACATGAAATTAAATACAAATTAATGTTTTTATAATTCGATAAAATAATTTCTTTTTGAATATCTTATTCAAACATAAAAACATCACTTTCGCAATACCTTTCACCTATTTAAATAAAAAAATATCTTTTAGCAATATTCAAAAAAAAGTAGGTTTTTCAGAACTGTCAAAATTTTTTATTCAAATTGATTGGTGGATTTTATTTTTTGAAAACAAATATCTGTAAAAATCGTCCATTTGCATAAAACACAATTTGAGAACTTTCCTTATAATTTTTTGTTAGTTTTACGGTGTGATTCAAATTCCTATCATAATCTACGAAATCAAATAATTACATCAATGTTTGTGTAAACACAATATTCATATTCTTCATCGTGAAATTTCAATTGAAATTCAAAAAATTGAGAGGCAATTTGAGAACTTATTGATCGTTTTACGCCGTTGGTAATGGTTTTTATAAAATCAAATTGTATTTATACAAAGAAAACATTCAAATATCTTTTCTTTTTACATTGAGATTTTTCAATGGAAACCATTGAAATTCCCATTTTTACAATTTGTTATATATTTTCTTGTTGAATGTCAGGAGATGCTATATGTGAGAAAGGAAGAATACAAAGAAACTAGTTTACGCCAGATGAAGATAGGTTTATCATCAAAACAGTTCAACAAATTGGATTTAAATGGTCATTAATTGCACAACTTTTAAATGGGAGAAATTCGAGGCAAATAAGGGAGAGATATAATAACTATTTAAATCCAGAGATTGATTGTTCCCAATGGTCAGAAGAAGAAGACAAGAAATTGATACAATTAGTAACAAAATTTGGAAATAAATGGAAGACAATTTCCATAATAATGGGAAATAGATCAGAAGTTAATGTTAGAAATCGATATAGATTGTTAATTAGACATCAAAGATCACAAGAAAAACATTTGAATCTAGAAAATGAAATTCGAAAAGATTCCGTTCCATTACTTAAAATCAATCATAATGAACCTGAATATCAGCAGATTGATTTAGATATCGAATTCTTTTTTAATGATTTTATAGATTGCTAAAATTGATGTAAAAAAGCATAATTTTTTTCAATACTTATAATTTTAAAGATGAATCATTGAGGATTATTATCTTTTTTCCTAGAAGATAAGTGTTCCCTAATCACAATATATTTTTCTCTTAAATCAGGATTTTTCTTTTGATTCTCTTTGATGTATAAAATTGGAGTTCTGTTTTGATTGTCCTTGATACTTTTCGTAGCACCTTTCTTAAGGAGATAATCTACAGTGAGAACATCAGCATTCATAACAGCAATGTGAAGAGCTGTTCTCCCTTCATTATCTTTTGCATTTAAATCTGCACCTAATGCTATTATTTGATCTACATAATTGAAATCTATATTATTGCCATTTTTCGAGGACAGGGCTATCCGAAGAAGATTTCTCCCTTCATTATCTTTGGCATTAAAATCAATGCCATAAGAAATTAGAAGTTTTGCTATTTGGATATTCTTTTTATGTATTGAATAAAGAAAAGCAGTTTTTCCATCCGCCATTTTTTCATTGATATCTGCTCCATGAGCAATGAGATATTCAATTTTTTTAACAAGGCCTTTCTTAATAGCGCTGAAAATGGGTGTTTTTCCTTTATTATCTTTTGCGTTGATATCTGCATTATTTCAATTAGAAACTCTATTGTTTTATCCCTTGAATGTTCTAATGCAATATGAAGTGGTGTTTTTCCTTTATTATCTTTTGCATTGATATCTGCATTATTTTCAATTAGAAACTCTATTGTTTTATCCCTTGAATGTTCTAATGCAATATGAAGTGGTGTTTTTCCTTTTTGATTTTTGAAATTGATATCCATTCTTTGCTTAATGAAAAACTCGATAATTTCTTTACTATCACTTGCAGATGCAATATGTAAGCAATTTTCGTTTTGATTTGATTTAATATTGATATCTGCACCTTTAGATAAAAGATACTTTGCAATTTCTACATTATTTATTTTGGCAGCATAAAAAAGTAATGTTTCTCCTTTGGAGTCTCTATCATTGATATCAAATTTCGAAATAAAATACTTTGCAACGTCATTACAACAAAAGCGAAATGCCATTTCTAAATAATTTCTGTTCGATGCATCAAGTGATCTTATTTTTGAATCAAGAAAATATTTACATAAGTTTAGATTGTTTGTAATTATGGCATATTCGAAAATTGAAAAGTGGTAACTATCTGTTTTTGCAAAATCCACGTCTTTATTTACGAAAAATTCTGATGTGATTGGAAAATAGCCACAATATGGTGTTACAAGTTTGAAATCAATATTACCTAAAATAAACAAAGCTTTCAAATTGATAAATCCTACTAAATCATTACTAAATATTTCATTTAAATCTATTGATTTAAATTGTAAACAATGCTCCATATTATCAAAATTATGTGTTTGGATTGAATATTTCAAGCATTTTATATCTGGTTCAAAATATTTCAAGCATTCATTGATGATGTCAACACTTTGTCCAATAAATGAATATTGAAGACATTCCTTTGTAATTTTTTGATTACAGTTTGAAAGAAGATAAAAGAAACAGTTTTCTGATCCATAATAAGCGCATGATTCAAGAATAGAGATTCTGCAAATAATGTTCAATCGATTTTTAAGATGTATCTTACCTAAAATATTAGGTTCAATCTCTTTAATTTTTTCGATGTCATCATTCATTATTAATTCCTCAATTTCATCAATTTTAATAGTATTTTTGATAAAATTTCCTGTATCAACATATGCGATCCCATCCTTCCCCTCACTAAAAGAAATTCCATGATATGTTACAAACAAATGCATATTTTTTTAAAGAAGAATCAGTAATTGATAATTCCAAGCAAAATTTGTTGATAAGATCAATTAACTCTTTGTAGTATCGAACGTTGAGGAAGACTGCATTATACATACTTGTTAGTATTACACGTGATGGCATTTTGTATTTATCAATCAAAACACTTTTGATCTGTTTGAGAAGTGATTCAATATCAATTTCTCGATTAAAATGATAAATGTTGTAGCATATTGTCATAAAATCATCAAATTGTTCAATATAACTAGTGCTCATTGTACAAATATTGGTTAATTTGTTCAAAAAAAAGTCACTTTTCTATTCAAAATTGTTGTAAATTTTTTGTCCATTTTCGGAATAAAATTGAATCTGAACATTCAATTCTGTTATTTATGGTCGCTTTTTAATAAAACAACTATCTGATATCTCAACTAATGAGGAAAAATCTCAAATCCAGTTTTCGATTATTTTTGATTAAAATGTTATTCGACATTAGAAGCAAAAATAATCATAGTTACAGTATTACACTTTTGAGTGGCACCACACCCTTGATAAATTGTCAGCAAAATATGTCTTGCGCGAGATGTAAAATGTCAAAAGTAATTGTTGATCCCATATTTGGATAGAAAAATTCTAAATAATATTTGGAATTAAAGTTATTTTCTGACTGCGAGCTTTCGTCCATTGAACATCCTTACAATTATTGAAAGAAATTCCATCAATTTCCTCGTTTTGTAATCATCATTCATTAACAAATTCATACTTTCTTTCAAACAAAGTTTCAGAAAAAAACTCAAAGGTATACTATTTTTTATGTTTAGAAGGATATAAAGAAGGTTTATCAGAAAATAAATGAGAAAAAGAAATATTTGGAATGTGAAAAGAATCTTTTTTATGTCTGATTTTAATTTCGCATAAAAATGAAGAATATAAATTAGGAAGAATGATTTCTGTCATTGACTTTGTTTTCGTAATATAATTTATATTTGTTGGAAATGAATTATCTTCAAAATGGCAATCATTTGCCATAGGTGATCCTGAACCATAAATATAAAATAAATTAGTAGCATTGTTTCCTTTGAAGAAACATTGACTTACTGAAAGTGTAGCAGAATTAGTAAGATAGAAAATTCCACGATCTTTTTGTGAAACTTTGTTATCAATAACATTACAAAAATAGAAATTTTGTGTATTAGAATAATGATAAAAACAACATTGTCTATCTGATGAAATATTATCGAAATTATTATAATTTGTTGTTGAAAGAGAAATTGGTTCAATACGAACAAATGCTGCATTTATATTTAGTTTTGAATCAGAGATATTTATTGATGAAAATAGAAGAGATCCATAATAATGATATAAAACAGCAATAGTTCCTGTATTTTGAGTGAATGATGATTCAATAACAAAATTCTTGTGGTTATCATCTTTTGTCACTTCAATATATGAATGAGATCCTAGTCCATATAGCCCTGTTGTCTTAGATTCATAACTACAGACTTTGTATTGAACAAATGATCCTGCTCCATTATTTGATACTGACGACATATATATGGATCCTCCATTATCTGAAGAGGAACATTTAAAGAAAGATGAAGTTGAAACAAGAACTTTTGTATCATCATTTGAAGAGATTCGAATAACACCATCTGGACTAAAATTTTCGAAAAGAACGTTATCAACAAAGACGTGATTAATTTCTGGGACTGTTCGACTTGTGTTAACAAATGTGTTAATATTTGCAGTATCATAGAATCTTTTCCATATGTCGTTTGAAGGTCCTGAGAAATGAAAGCATGCATCCTTTCTTCTGTTCCTTTGATTTTCCTCTTCTTTTTCTTCCTCAAACAAATATAACTTTCAATAGTTTACAAATTGCCAATAGTTTGGGCTTTTTTGGGGTTGGCGTCACAGTGGCGTCACGATGTAAACTTCTCAATATTGAATGGCTTACGTCGTGACGCCACCGTATTTTAAAAATTTGAAAGGGCTTTGGCGTCACTATAGGAAGTAATATAAACTATAGAATTTGTTTTGATTACCAATAGAAAATACAATTAATTATAAATTTAAATAGAACCACAATAGAATAAAAGTTTGTCTGAATAACGTAAGACTTGAACAAAGTTTCCCAGATATCTAGTAGGAATTGCTCCTTACGAGGCATATGTTCTAACTATATGCTTCGTAAGGAGCAATTCCAGCCTCATATAATTTTTTCTCTTCATATTTTCTTTCAGATAATAACTTTTGATTACTCCATCAAAAGTTGATTCAAAACTCAATTTTAAGTAATTTTATTTATTTATGTCTATTATTTGATTTTAAACTATTATTCCCAAATTCTGATTTTTTATTCAAAAATTTATATGAGGTTCTCAATATATCTCTCAATTTTCTAACTTTATAAATCTTCTTATTAGCTGATTTGTAATAAAAGATATTTTTCTACTTCATTTCCGATCGTTTTTAGTGACGCCAAAACCCTTTCAAAAATTTAAAATTCGCTGGCGGCAACACCCAATATTGAGAAGTTTACATCTTGACGCCACGGTGACGCCAACCCCACCCCAACCCAATAGTTTGATACAAATTTGTATGAATATTTTTGAAATTGGCTAAAAAATGATGTTCGGCATTATAAGTAAAAATAATTGCAATCAAGATACAAACTAATTTTATTAACTTTTTGGAGCTTAATTGTCAGTAAAAAAGTTCATAAAATTGTTATGAACCATTATTTGATACAATGCATGTAATTCCTTCCTGGACCCATCAGATTAAAAGGTTTCAAAGTTCCCCCTGCCTAAAATATGATCATAATTTTCATAATGTCAACACATATTTATTTTAAGAGTAAAAAAGTTCAGCAGCCTGATTATGTACTATATAGTGATTTATATTAACTTAGTTTAATATTAACTTTTGAGCTTAGAGAATAACAGAAAGTAAATTAATTACTTAGCTCAGAAAAATAATTTAGAAAATCAAAAATAATATTTTTTTTTAATCTTCGTATTCATAAACAACTTCCTCTTCTTCCTCCTCTTCGTATTCGTATTCTTCCTCCTCATCTTCGTCATTCTTCGATTCTGGCTGAACTGATTCGTTGTCTGACTTGTTAGATGGTTCTGGAGAAGCAGCATTTGATGAATTCTCGCTATTCATTGAATGATTTGACTGTTCATCATCATCTTTCTCTGTATTTGTAGAATGAGCGGAATTTCTGTTGCTGTCGCTCTTCATCGAACTGATTGATTTCTGTGAAGATTTGTCAATTTGTGCTCTCATTATCGAACTGTTTTCTCCTTGTTTCTGGAGGTTCAATGAGCCAGCAAATGACGAACCTTGTTGTGAAGAAAGTTGTGACATCTGTTGAAGCAACAATTGTTGCTGTTCCTGCATCAAAACAACTTTTTCAACCAACTGTGATTTAGTAAGTGATTGCAGTTGGTTCTGTCTTTCTATTGCTGACGAAAGAGGAACTTGTTGAGGCATAGGAGGTGCAGGATAGTTAGGATTCTCAGAAAGCAATCTGTTGATTCGTTCGTCGAAAGGACATTTCCTTATGAGACTTTCTTCTTTCTCTGGATGTTCTAAAACATCCCATGTCGATTCTGGCTCCATTGTTGGGTCAAAGATCTTAGGAATGCGGTGGTGAGGAGTTCCTAATGGACCTTCTGGTTCAGGGGGTGGAAGATTGGAGACAATCATCACTGGATTTCGGTCATCAGAATCATGATGACGGCGATGATCGGCATAGCGGGATTGTGATGATGCAGAACTGCCTCCTGGTGAGGAAGGAACGTATCTTGATGATGGACGTTGTGGTTTGGCAATTTGGGATGCTTTATCTTTTGATAATCCGTAATGTGCGTCGGCAATGTTTGCTTCTGGTATTTCTGGTTCGAGTTGTGTAAATATATTCTCTTGCTCTTCGTAGTATTGTGTCAAACCTTGGCCGTAGCCCTCGCGATGATGGCGATGATGATGGTGGCCTTTATGGCTATGATGAGAGTGATGACTATGGCGCGTTTCACTTGGTAGTGAGATATCATCAACATCTTTTGTTGTAAGTACTTGTTCGCTTTGAAGATCTGATTTCCGAATTCTTTTGATCGCATCTGGTCTGCTGAGGACTTCGTGTGGATTCTCTATGATGTTTCCATTTGAATCTTTCTTCACACGAACATGTAAGTGTTGACGTTGTGTTGGTTGTTCATCTTCAACAGTTGTTGTGTGATTTTGTGGACAAATAGCTTCGACAAGCTGAGGAACAATTGCAGATGAATCGTCTAATTGTAATTTTCTGCCGAGCCAGCTGATATCATGTCGAACTCTAATTTGGTTTTGAGATTCTGCTTCCAAAATATTGCCTGCGTTCTCCATTGAATGAGAAAGAATGAATTCGGATACTATTTCTTGTGCAATACGCTCTGCTATAGAATCATTTGGTTTTTTAATCGTAACAATTTGAGATTTGCAGTTATTTGCGATTGCAGATGCAATCGAGTTTAAGTAAATTGCTCTAACACGCTTTTGGCCCTCAATATCTTCAAAGTCTGGAGGAATATTACTCATAAATACGTTTGCTAAGAAACTTTTTTTTTCAGTTTACAAAGCGTTATCTTTACAATTAGTTCATTCAAACCTGGACCAAATATATCATTCCATATGGATCCATTAAAACAATTTAAAAAAAAAAAAAAAAAAAAAAAAAAAAAAAAAAAAAAAAAAAAAAAGGTAGTGGGGCTTCCAGGCACTTCGTGCCTTCTAGCCCTGAAGATGTTTAGTATAAATGAAGTTTTTATTCGGAGGACTCTTCTTCTTCCTCCATTGCTTCTGGGAAGAAGCCTTCTTCTGGGTCGAAAACATTATATAATGTGTCGCTTTTCACAAATTATATATGTTTTCATGTTTTGTCACTTTTCTGTCACTTTTCGGGTAAAAACATTTTTATTATTATATATAAATGAATTTTACAAAACCACCGTTACCGTTCTTTGGAAATAAGAGTAAATGTAAAGATATTATATTGAGAGAACTTAAGAAACTACCGAATGGTCTAACATTTGTAGATTTGTTCGGTGGAAGTTTCTATATATCCCATTTGTGCCATACAATATTCCCAGACTCAAAGATTATATGCAATGACTTCGACAACTATATGGACCGTCTCAAACATATACCAGACACAAACAATATATTGAAAGAGTTAAAAGAAAAGATACCTATAGGTAAGATGGAACGTATACCATTAGATAAGAAAAATATTGTGAGAGAGGTTTTGAAAAAAGCAGAATATATAGACTGGGATAGTATATCTGCTAGACTATTATATAGTGGTTCTATAAGAGTTCATGACATTGAAACACTTATGTCAAAAGTTTTATATCTTAACTATACAAATGTTTTCAAAGAGGACATAGAAAAATATATTGAGGGTATAGAGTTTGTGAGATGTCATTGGACAGATTTGTATGAAAAATATAAAGACAAGGAAAATGTTTTCTTTATAGTGGACCCGCCGTTCTATAACACATGGGATTTTCAATACCAAGTAGACTGGACTTTGAGAGACTCTTTAGAAACTTTAGACGTTTTACATAACCATCCATGCTTTTACTTTACATCCGATAAAAGTGGTTTGGAAACCGTTATGAGATGGTTAGAGGACATACATGACTATGAGTTTAGATATGACAAGATAGAATATGAGAGAGGTCCTATAAACTGGAGAAAGTGTCATAACAAAGAAATTTTATTAGTAAGTAAATGTGGTTTGAAATGGGACTACTTGTTTTAGGTTTTTTCCATTGTGTCATTTATTTATTTGACGTGGCAGAAAAGTACAGAGAATATGAAGATGAACCAATGCCTGCAAATGTTCAGTATATGTACTCGTAAGAGATATTTTTATCTAATATTAAATGGACGCACAGAACTTAGCGAATGCACAGCAACCTGGACAACCAAACCCAGAGAATATTCCAAATGAAGTTAGAATACAAACTGCAATGGCAAACTATGGTCAAGTGCCAACAGATGTACAAATGCAAACTGCCATGTCAAATGACGCTGCGTTAGGCTTACCACCATGGTATGCAAATATGAGATGGAAAGAGTTTTATACAAACCCTGAAGTGGGATATAAACAACTTTATGCAGATGACGCGAACACAGGAGTTGACCCAGAATATGTTTTCTACCAGAGGAGAAACAGAATGTATGAGCTCCAGTTAAAGAATGCAATGGAACTCAACAGGAAACGTAAGAGACTAGGCGGACATTAGATTTTTACATATAGTAAAATGGGTTTCTTTGGAAGAATAGGAAACTTCTTTCGAAATGTTGGAAGAGGTATATGGAATGGAATAAAATCTGTCGGAAGAGGAATTTGGAACGGAGTCAAAAATATTGGTAAAAGAGTAGGTCAGTTCGTTGGTATTATACCTAAAGACCCTGAACCAGAAGAACAAGCTCCTGTTATACAACAGCCTGAACCTGCACCACAGTCTAGTTGGCAACCAAATCCAACACCTCAACCGTATTAAAATTATATTTTTACCGTTCGATAGTAGTTGTATATGAAACTAAGTTCTAAGTAAAACGCATGGTATATGGAATTATTCTTTTTCTTCCATCTGTAGTAAACCATACTTGAAAGTCTGAAATACTTCCACTTGGTGGTTCGTATAACTTTGTAGGTTTTTCGTAAAAGTCATTTGCCAAGCATAAGAAAGAGTTTTGGGCGCCAGAAAATGAAGCATGAACAATAATAGCAGCTGGGTCGAAAACATCTTTAAATAAATATGGTTCATCTCTTGCATATCGACTGTAAATATTTGCTAAAGGAAGTTCGACTTTCTGATTTAACATTCTTTGCAAATAATACCATGACATTGCAGTGAATTCTGTATATATTTGTTCGTCTTTCTTTGGATTGTCTTCGTAGATTTGAAATGACACTTGTGAATTTTGTTTGTCATATACAATTCTCACATAAAGTGTGCTCTCGGTATTTGCATATTCATCAGCATATTTTGCATACATGAATTTATTTTATCTCTTATATTTTTTAACGCAGTCTGTAGAGAAGATGAAAGGTCAACTTGTATTAGCTCAATTTCTTCCCACATTTTTCGTTTCCCTTCAGATATATCTATATGAAACCTTACAATAAATGGAAAACTTTTATCTTCTACAGACACAAACTTCATTCTACGAAAGCCAATAGCTTTTGTGACAGATGGGTCTCTTAACCATCTTAATGGGTAGTCAAAACGATAGCCTTCATGCTTTACGGTCTCTGTCTCAAACTTTTGACCGACATTAGTAAAAAGTTCATCTAATGGTTTAGTTGTAGCAACTCTTGAATTTTCTTTTTCTATTGGAAGCATATTTTATCTAGAATAAAAATGTCAAATGAAACAGCGTCTATGAGAGAAATACAACACAACCGACAACTCATTATGCAAGCTCTAAATAAGAACACAACAAACTTTTCAAACTATTCTAAGATATCTGAGTCATTGAAAGAAGGAAACCTAAAACTGACATTAAACCCAATGACAGATGAGTTTCTGTTTCAAGACAATAAGAACCATACTGTTTGTATAAATCCAACAAAACGAACTTTAAACGAGAAACCTATAGATGAACTTCTTTTGAAAGCAGATGTTGACAACAAAGCTGACAAAGAGTATGTAGACGATGCAATAGCAAAAGAAGAAGAAAGAGCTAACAAAGCTTATGCAACGAAAGAGGATGTTGAAAAGAAAGCAGATAAAACATATGTTGACGATGAGTTAGCATGTGTGGCTAGTGCGTTAGTGAAGAAGGCATATAAGGAATATGTGGATGAAAAGACAATGAAATTAAAGAAAGGGTTGACTGGTACCATGAACGGACAACAAAGATTTTAAAAACGAAAGCCGATACAGGATGGGTTTCAGGATGTTTAGACCTTAAAGCCGACAAAGAAACTGTAGATATGTTGGCACAAACGGTTTCAAGTCATACCAGAGGTTTAATGGAAGATGGACAACAGTTGAAAGAGCTTGAGAAAGGTGTTACAGAGTTAAGGAATACAAAAGCAGACTCGACATGGATAAAAGGATATGTAGATGCAACAAAAGAACGTATTTTCGCATGGACAGAAGGAACATACCCACAAAAATATCATAGACATAGCATCTCTGACGTAAATGAACTTGAAGAAAAGTTATATAAAAAAGCAGACAAAACAGAGCTTCAAACATTAAAGACAGAAATACTTCAAACAGTATATCCTATAGGTTCTATTTATACGTCAATGAACTCTACCAGACCAGAAGTAGTACTTGGTTTTGGAACTTGGACTCAAATAGTCGACAGGTTTTTGTATTGTGCAAACTCTTCAAAGGAAACAGGTGGAAGTAAAACGATTTCAGGTGAAAACTTACCTGCACACAGTCACTACATAGATTTAAGTACATCTCAAGCAGGTTGGCATAAGCATAGATATTGGGATTGGTCAGGAATGACAAAAGGTAAAGGATATGATGTTAAAGACGACGTTAAGTTTGCTATAAATTGTTTCTGGGGTAACACTCAGGGAGATGGAAACCATACACATCGCGTTTCAGGATATACGCAAACAACGGGACAAAGTAAAGACTACATGCCACCTTACATGACAGTTTACGCATGGTATAGAAATGCTTAGTCGTCATTTTCAACTTCTTTAGCATATTCGTCAGGAGTTGTCTTATATTTGTTAGGAACTGTCTTTGAAAGTATACCACCTTGAACTTTGACAAGTTTGAAACGAGGTCTGACAATAGTAGTTTTATCTTCTGCTTGCAGTGTGTACATTTTGCCATGTTTGCCTAAAACTTCATAATATTCTCTTGTATACTTTCTTCTATTTTTACGAACACGAATGTGAGTACCTGTCGGGTTCCCATTGTTGTCATAGTCAATAGTATTTTCATATGGGTCGCGTTTAGGTATTTCTATTTTTACTTTGTCACCTTTCTGAAGTTTGAAGCCCGGCATTCTTTCTTGTTTGTCTCTTTTGACTAAATTATTAAATATATAGTCTTTCTCTAAGTCAGGGTTGTTTTTCATTTCTTCGGGGAGTGGTTTCCCAAACCTTTTTGTTTACGGCTATTGTAAATATTTAAAACTTGTCTCATCTTTGCCATGGAGAAGTGTCTATATTTGTCGTCATATGACATTTCATTTGCTTCACCACCTTGTGGTTGGTTTAAGTCTCTTAACATTTTTATACAACTGTCAATGACACCAAGAGCAGAATGGTTTTGGTCGACAATGAAATATTGGTTTACATTTTTTGAACGCAGATAGTTTTTTACATCATCTGATTTGAAAGAACTTTCACAGTCAGATGTTAGTTTTGTTGGATGGTATTTGTCAACGAATATTGTCAAAGCTGCTAAGATATCTAAAATATTTTTGGACTGTAATGGTATGGCTTCACAGTATCTTGTGTTTTGACCGACAAATATTAGCCAGTATGGAGGTCCATCTGTTCTAACTCTCGGAATGTTTTCCAAGATATCCATAAACCAAGCATT